CAGGTAAATACACACGAAGCTCCCCCCCCCCCCAAAAAAAATGTGCACCTTGCGGGTCTTGATAATAATTACATTGTTTACATGAAAGTTACATAAGTTACAACTCAAAAGAAATAAAAAATAAATGAGGAAGTACGTGTATGTCCAAAGTTGGCATAATTATTGGCAGGCCTACATTTTGCAATGTGGATAGAGTAACCAGTCTAATTACACCCTTTCGCGCGCACTTTTCGAATTGGCAACATTCATATTCTGATTCAGCGGGTTTTTGTTGATAGAAACAACCAAAGTTACTCACGAAAGTCACTTTCTGGCCACATTCCTTGGGGGAGGGGTGATCATGGCCTATTTGGACCTTCGAGAATTCACAAGGTTTTTCGATCGTTTGGTAGTTTCCCTTGAAACCAGACGGGAAACCCGTTCTCGTGGAAGTGTTGGGCCAAGTGCGCGTCGATCGTGCACGGTCTGTATCGTGGGTGTCCATGCATCAATTACCAATCAGTGGTATATAATTCCGCTAATTGGGGCCAACGCAGACTTCAGGTGTGGTGCCATTCCCCACAAACTGGTGATATTTTTCCTAAACTGGGAATATCTAGAGCTGGCTTGTAGGGGAATCACGCCACAATATGAACACATCGACAAAACGTAGAGCCTACGGAACGTTCCTACCTAATTACTTTTATGAAACAAACAACATGTATATAGGGAAATTGAATAGGTGCTTTCATGTAATTATAAAGATGAACGAAGGAATTGCTTTTAAATTCCTCCGATACGCAAGCATTTTTTTTTATCTCCTCAAAAAACAGTTTGACACAGTAGTTCATGAACAAGATCGCATAACGTCAAGTTCTGTTAGACTGGAGACACACAAAGCGTCCCATATTTTTCTCCAGTTGCTGTTTTCTTCACTTAAAACGAGTAATACAGCATGTTTCAAGAAAATCCATTCACTCTAAAATTAAATTTGTCATTTTGATAAAAAATATTGTCCAGAGCAATGTCTCTTGATGACTTATTGAAATTGGTCAAAAAGATACTTATTACAAACTAGATTAGGCAAGATTCTGATTAGAAATATCAGTCATGTGACAAGGATAGGATCATGTCTGATGCATTCAATCTCCTAATCAAGTGTCGACTTTCCTCAGTTGTAATTGAACTTCTGACAAACCAAGTTAGTCAAGAATCTGAATTGTCATGTGACTTCCAAGCATATAGGATTATCTGATACGACTGATATGTTTATCGAGTGACTTTTTTTCCAATTATTACTTGAAATTTCTGACTAATCACGGTGTCGTCCAGTGACTAATGAACTTTGATGATGCTGAAATCAGTAGTGGTGGCAGATCCAAGTTGCATAAGCTTCTCAAGTAATTTGGTCATGTTTCTGCGGCTGATGACTCGTGTCTATAATGCATGGGGGTAAATTAATGCCGGCTCCTCCTTGGATCGACCACACCTTAATCATGACGACACCTGAAAAAAGGAGAGAAAAAGCTGTTTAAGTATGTCTTAAATACTGTTTATTTCGCTAAGCATCTCTAAAAAGACAATGGAAATAAATGCTAAAAACATGGCCGTTGTGAAGATCACTGATCATTCAGAACACATATACCAATACTAAATTGATATCATAAGCAAATGACCTAAAACATCATTGCTACATGCTATGTCACAGCACACTTTACTGTGGAAGTGAACTGGATATCAACCATCAAACATCACTGAAGAGCGCGCTTATATACGAAGCATGACGTAACAGTATGTTTTAAGTTTTTTCCCCGAAATCCGATTCGGAAGAAGGAAAACCATTCATATCAACTTCAATCATAATTGGAATATTCGAATTCACGACAATGTCATCATCTTTAAGACAAGCATGACTGGAGAATTAGAAAATAATATTTTCGTCAAAAAGGTCAACAGCTGTCATCAGACAAACCTAGTTCAAGTGTCTTCCACTAAAGTTGCCAATTTTTGTGAAATTCGTAAATGATGTACATGCAATATGTACATTATAAAAAGGTCATATAGTTACGTTGTTATCTAGACGTTTGCCTGGACACCTCTCATTATTAGCGAGCTGCGATGATGGGGCTGAGACGGAGTTGGATGGTATGATGGGATGGGGGAGGAGTCGGAAATGGATGGGACGATTGAACGGGGGAAGCAGAGTTGGAGATAGATAGACTGATAGAATGGGGGAGGCGGAGTTGGAGATGGGTGGGATGATGGGATGGAGGGACGCAGAGTAAGAGATGGATGAGAGGATGGGATGGGGGTCAGAGTGGATGACGGATAGGATAATAAGATGGGGGAAGCAGAGTTGGAGATGGATGGGATGATGGGATGGGGGAGGCGGAGGTGGATGGAC